AGAATCTGTAACTCTATCCTGGTTCTGTGGCAGGAAGCCTGAGAGCTCCAGGCTCTCTGCCACAGAGCTGAGAAGTCCTGTGACGGGTTTCCAAGATCTGGGGCAGCCTGCATAGTGGGGCTGTCCCAGAGTCTGAAATTCTGGGAACTATGGCAGCTGCCCAGAAAAATTCACAAGAAAGTGAATGTCACTTAACAGCTGTGGGTCCTGAGGAGGGGATTTGGTTTTGGAAACAATACCTATGTCAGTGTTTCCTTGACTCATTTTGGTGGGATTTCAAGTTTCCATGACATTTTAAAAACTGGATTCATTCCAGTTTGGAAAAGCAACAAACCCCAAACCAAATTTTGGAACAGCAAAATATCTCATGAACCAGGAATTCCAGGTTTTCCTCTGCTTTATCTGATACTTTCTTATTGCTCCCTCCCCCCAAGAATGTTGTGCGTGTGTGAGAAACACTTTAATGATGAAGATGTAGATATTATGCTGGATCAAGTTTCCATAGAAACATATCAGAAAGTTGAAAAATTGGAATAAAAGGCTTTAAAACAATCAAAATGGTTATTAGCATCTTACCCGGTTTTTATCTAGATAAAAAAGCACAATATAGCTGTGCAAACAAATACTATCTTTCAAATAATTATTTTTGTCTTGTTAATTGCAGTGTATTTGCCTCATAAATATATTTTAATTTGAAACTTTTATAAAAAAATAAGATTCTAAGAAGCAGCCGCTTTTCCAGAATAAGCTGCGAGCTGTCTACACTGGCTGCTTGCTTTTCCGGAAAAGCAATGATGATCTACTGTAAAATTGTCAGTGTTTTTCCGGAAAAACTATGCTGCTCCCATTCGGGCAAAAGTCCTTTTCCGGAAAAAACTGTTCTGGAAAAGGGCCAGTGTAGACAGCACAGAAGTCTTTTCCGCAAAAAAGCCCTGATTGTGAAAATGACGATCGGGGCTTTTCTCCGGAAAAGCGCGTCTACATTGGCCACGGACGCTTTTCTGGAAAAAGTGCTTTTCCGGAAAAGCATCCTGCCAATGTAGATGCACTTTTTCTGGAAATACTTATAACGGAAAACTGTTCCGTTTTAAGCATTTCCGGAAAAGGGTGCCAATGTAGACGTAGCAAGAATGAATAATAGCGAAAAGTTACCAGAAATCTCTCCCCCCCCCTTTTTATAAAATTATGTCTCACCAGATATACTCACGAATGACTATCTTTCTTAATTGATGTAGACTGATGTCTTAAAAACTGTCAACAAAAGGTCTGACTTCGGTCACAGCCCTATTTTAAAGACCTTGTAGTAAAAAATATATGACTAGAAACCAAACAAAAATATTTAAAGGGCATTAACACTAATCTTCATACTGACTAGCCACAGAGTTCATCAAATAGTCTTATGGCAAGTTCTTAAATTATAATGATTTCAATTATATAATTACAAGGAGTTACAAAGCATAGATCTTATAGTTACAGCAGAATGGCATAACCAAACACAGAAATTAGTAATAAAAGGCTTGTTGGACCAAGTTTCTGCAAAGTGACTCATTTTGTATGCATATACACTTTTATGAGCACCAATACCTATATGCATATATGTCAAAATGAATTGGCTTGAAAATAAATATAATTAAGTGCTTGAAAAGTGCATATAGAAATTGTGTACATAAGTGGGAAACTGGACTAAGGCCTTTTTGGAAAATAAAATAAAAAAAGATTCATTTTTATTAAAAGGCTTTTAATTGAAGTAATATTATTCCAAAAATTGTAAAAAATATTTTATATTTTCAGATATATTTCAATCAAATTCCATACAAAAATACAAAACCTGTATTAGGAGTTAAAGCACAGCAATGTACAGAAAATATACATATGTAAAGAAAACACAGTGAACAGTAATTCCTGCAAGATACTAGATATTGCAGACCAGAAGTTTCTCACTCTCATACCTAGTATAATACACCAAGTTCAATTTAATCAAAATTTGACTTTCGTAAATTAAAACAATCATTTTCCTGCAATATATTTGTGAAAAGACTAATATCTCCATATTATGTACCACCTGCATAAACAAAAACAATAATAAATGTTGGTAAAACACTTTGAAGAGTTTCAATTTTAAACCTTTTTAATGCCAATTCATTTTTCACAATTTTGTGAGGAAAGTAGATACTAGTGGTGTGCCTTGCAAAGAGGCATCAGCTGTTTAGAAAAGAATAGCACAGCGCAGAATGTATTTCAGATAAATAAAAAATTTAAAAACAAAGAAAGCTTATTGAAAATTGTGCAATTTCCCACCTTCTCTTTCAACAATACACTGATTTAATAATGGAGGACATGACAAATTCTAACCTATACAGTAATAAAACAAGCTATTGATGTTCTTTTGCTATTTATACAAATAAATATATTGTTTGCACAAATCATACAAACTATAAACCATAATAAAATACAATTCATTAGTGACTGGAGACAAAAGAGTTGGTCTTTGTTAAGCCCAAATTAAAGAGAATTGAATTAAGGTTAATACAGAGAAAAGCATGATCTGGATGTGTTGTCCTCTGTAGCTCTTGGATCACGAGATGAATAGTAAACAATTCAAACATCTTCTTATTACTTCTGTAAAAATTTGTAATATAAAATTAGTCAGCAACAAATTCATTAGATTACTTTGAAGTGTGTGAAGAGAATTTAAAATCACTATTCTAGAAAGTTGACATTTTTAATAGAACCAAATATATTTTATATTCCACAAATCTATTTTTTGACATTGTCAGTGATAATGGTTAAATTATCTCCAATGAAAAATATTGTTTATTTTTGAATTTTTTCTTTCAACTTAGAAACTTATTTTCCCCGCAGAGTTATGGGATTTTATTTTCAAGATCAAAACTAATCTGTACATCCCTAATTTTCTATAAAAATATTCAATACCTAATATGAATAAAATACTTTAATTTAGGCCTCTGTTATTTTATAAGAAAAATAATCAGATCAAGTAATGCACTGAAGGAATTAGTACCAGATGTGATACCATTAGGCAGATGAGAGCATGTTGCAAAAAATTGGTAAAGAAACAATCAAGGAGAAAGTTGCTCAGAAAGGGTCAAAATTCCTTTTTCAAAAATTACTTATTGGGCATTTAGAAGCTTAAGGTCTCACAGTAAGTGGATAAGACTTAAGACTCCTAAACGCCTAAGTCACTTTTGAATATAGGATCTAGGTTCCTATATCAAATAGGCTCTTTTGTAAATTTTACCTCAGAAAGACTATGCTACAGAGTAACTCAGCAAAAGTGAGGGTCAGTTGAGAAAATGAGGCCAAAGAACTATGAGGTGGCATACAAGTTAACTCAAATATAAAATAAATAAATACTAGCCCAAATATGAATTTATATTATGTAACCTGAGATGCACAAGATTTAGGAGCAAATTTTAAAGATTCATTTTATAAGCTAAAAGCTATTCTTTTAATGGAACTAAAGGCAAAATAAGTTTGCCATTGCTAGATCTAATATTTGCAATATTGCTAGAAGTGCAGATACCTAATGAAAAAAGGAAGAAACCAAAAATCATTTTTTATTAAACAAGGACTACAAAATAAAAAAAAATATTTACTTGATTCTGGAGAGTTTTTGCAGTATAATACTGATTTTTTCCAGTATCAGTAGATCTAGCTTAGGATTTCGAAGCAACACAGAACAAGTACGGAAAAAAGACTCATTACTGCAAGCTTCAAGGAAAGGCTGCAAAAAACCTGTAAAATAATAATGTAATGTTTTCATCAATTAAATTTGATAAACAATCCAATGTTATAGTTAATGAAAAATGAAGTGCACTTTATACTTGCAATGCAACAAGACAAACTACACAACTTTCTGGCCTAAACTTTACACAAAACTCTAACAAAATCAGAAACTACATAAACCTGAATACATCATCAACACTTGGATGTAAAATAAGGGTAAAATCCCGTGGAGGGGTTCTTTTAACTAAAGTGATAGGTATGTCAAAGATGCACAATTATCTAAAACTCATGTATCAACTCATGTGATCAACCAGGCAGAAGAACTAAGGAGTGGCAAATGTGGTTCACCAAAGATTGTTTTAAGAAACTGCAAAATTACCTTTCAACAGATGATGCTGAAATAGTTACAGGAGCTAATGTGAAACTAGGTAGCCTTTCATTATCAAAATGTTTGTTTAATAGTCCTAGGCTTGAAGATAGGTGCAATAGTAACTGAGCAAAAAAAATAATCCATATAAATATTAATATAATTCCCTTAATGCTAATGCACACCTAAAGCTTTCGGTCAAGTTGTTAAGTTTTATTAACTTTTGTTCTCTTCTCCATAATTTTACTGCTTATATATACCATGGAATCTGTCAGCATTTTACCACAACATTCTTGTACCTAAATAATTAGTTTACATGCCAGATTTTGTGTTTTAGAGTTCAAATGAGAAATAAATGTTAGGACTGACATGGAAAAGTGAATGCAAATACAAACACATGCATCATATTGCAAATTTCCCCACTTACTGAAATAAGCATCAATGTGCATTTGTTCCAACCACTGGCAGAGGATTTAAAATAAATAAATAAATAAACTCAATCTTCAGATTAGTTTTTATTTAAATCAGTTTTTATTTCAATTAAATGTATTTTTCTTTTTAAAACTAAACCTATTTCAAAATAAATTTGAAATTGTGACAATTTATTATAAAGTTTAATCCTACTCTAGTTCATTAAAACAATTTAAATAAAAAAGTACAGTGGTTTTACTAAGTCCTCCTCAAATTATGAATTAAAGGGTTCTGAAATTATATAACTGAGGGAAATAGCTAATCATAGAATACTAGGACTGAAAGGAACCTCGAGAGGTCATTGAGTCCAGTCCCCTGCCCTCATAGCAGGACCAAATACTGTCTAGACCATCCCTGCTAGACATTTATCTAACCTACTCTTAAATATCTCCACAGATGGAGATTCCACAACCTCCCTGGGCAATTTATTCCAGTGTTTGACTAACTTTTTAGGTCAAGTCAAATAAATATAAATATATCACAATATTGTGTGCTAAATTCAATAGCTCTTTTATTTTCAGTCTTTAACAAATGTTAGTATTTACATTTTCACAAATGTAAGTGCTACAGTTCTGTTCTGCATTTTTAGGGCTTTGTCCATCTGGTAGATTTAGATGCTCTACACTAGTATAGTACTAACAGGTTGTGCATTAACTGGTCAATATAGATCTTGCTGAGGCACACTAAAGATTCTCTAGTAAGCTTCAATATAGTACTATTTGTAACAGCACATGTTAAAGTGTACCAGCTAGGATTACACAGATTAATTAATGTCATATTAGTGTGCTTTAGAAATCACATCATTCCTCGTCTCCTCCCTCCCCATAGAACACATTACTCCACCATGCAGACAAATCCTTGGGCACCTAAGTACTTTAAAATGTATATCAATTCACTAACTCAAGATACTACTTCATTTACTAAATCCATTTTAAATGAAAAATATGCTCTGATAAACTTGACTTCTGTTTCTTGCATATAAGGCAATTTGATGAAACTAATATACAAATGTAAAATATGTCCATAACTAGTAAGTTAGCAAAATGAAGTACCAAACTGAGTGTAAAGGCTGTATTTGGTTGCAAATCAACATGTTCCAATATCTATAGGCACCCATGAGAATGAGCTTTACTTTAGGAAAACAACCAAAAAATACAAATACAAAACCATACTAAAATCAATTATTTAAATCAAGATTTCCTGATTGCTGATGTCAGCCATTATTAAAATACATAATTTAAATCAATTAGCAACAATTAGAAAATATCACATTCTAGAGCTGCGTCAACAAATCCTGCTTATATAATGAAACAAACATTGAAAACTTAGTTTTCAATTTAAGAAATAAAGGACAACGGCTATTCACTGATTCAAAGCAGTCTGATATTTCAACATAAATCACAGAAAAGACACAATAAAATGTTTGACTTTCTTACATATACACTATATTTTCTGACAGCATGGTAGTAAAGGGACATGGATTTGGGAAGATGTTTCATAGCTTATTTTTTTCCTTGTTTTAAACATATTTGTAAGTCCTACTCAAGGCAACTTAGCAGGATATGCAAACCACAGCATTAGGTAATGAAGTACAGAAAGTGTTTTTTAATAGCTCCTTTACATATGTTGTGTAAAGTACTTTATAAATGAGATGTCAAAGTGCGGCTATCAATCCAGTGAAGATGGATGCACCTTTGTTTTAAAAAAATAAGGACATACATATTTTATTAGTCATAATAGATAGCCTGAGAGTGAAATACAAGATTGTAATTTATTTCAGGAGCTCTACTGAACCCAGTGTAAATTCTCAGAGTGGTAGCCATGTTAGTCTGTAACTGAAGTGTAAATTGTAACCCAGAAAGCACAACTCAAGTAACATAACACCATTTAGAACAAGTGCTGAAAAGTCTACTTGGAAAGAACAAGTGGGATGTTTCTCTTTGTCAGCATGAGGGGTTAACATCAATTTCTGCAGAATTTAAGCTTTCATATATGTTTCTAACCCATATGATTGTGAAGATACTCTTCCAAATGTAAACAGTATGCAAAGCAATGTGATGATGCCAGCCCCTTCCTCACAGAATATAATTAGTTGGAAGTAGAACAATCAAAAATAGTTTAAGTATTCTAAGAGGATTTTTTTTATAAACTAAGTTTACAAAATACAGTATTCAGCAGTATCCTGTTAGTAATCCCATGGTAATATAATATATTTAAATGTGCGTTTATTTAAAAAACAGATTGTAGAAATGAAAGTGTTTCTAAAACATATTTGAAAAATGTCTATTTTGGTGGTCTGTCATCGTAGTAATTAGATGTAATTTTTCTTGTAAATTTTTGGTGACTACAAAGTCTATAACTGTCATGTCAGGAATTCTGTACAAGTTACAGTATTCTGTACAAACCTGCACAGGCATCCTTAGACATTTGTACCAACTTGCATTAGTAGTTCAGTTTCAGACGTACACTGCAATGGACAATAAGCAATTAATTATTGTTGACAGTTTATATCAGACTTCCCTGAAAGTGATCAGTCACCAACTTAATAGACTCAGCTACTACTAGTCAGCAATTGAAATAACACCAATGGAAATTCTTAGTGTCACAATGTAAGCAACACCTCCATTCTAAATTTAGGTGTATGCCATTTTCAAAAACAAAGACAGACAGAAAGTATATCTGTCAGTGTACCATGCTGAATAATTAAACAGTAGGGTTTTTTCTGTGCTTCATGTGGAGATGTAAATTCTATTAGCATTGGTGGTTAATGTACATACTTACCAATGAGAGGAATAAGAGACAGCAGTAATGCAAGTGAATGAAAGGGTAATGACAACGTGGCTGACTGGAGAAGTCTTCCCTTTGACTATGGGTCATAGCAAAGAATTTAAAAGGAAATGAAATTGTTCCCCCACTGTGTAGAGTCAACTGCACTACATTTATTTATAAAAGAGTGGAACAACTTGATAAGTTCCTGTATCTTATTGTGTATGACAACAGTTGTTTGGAAGCAAGATGTATTTGATGTGGTATTGTTTAATCATTATTTTCTGTTGTAGTGTCCAAATTCTCCTAGGTGGTTTCCAAACCAGAGGTAATTCATGCCTGATAAAGCAAACTATCAAAAAAGCCAAAGAAAGATGAAGGGTTGAAGAAAGGGTAAGAAACAAAACTATCAGGTCAGCAAGCAGCATATATGTTGGTAGCTACATATTTGTTTAGGTTATATCTATTTATTTTAAGTTACATATTAAATTCTCTGTCCTGTATCATCTGTCCATCGTTCAATCCTCAAGTGCAATACCAGTGTTTTTATGACTGCCACAAAAATTGACACCCATTTCATCACAAGTATAACAAACGAAGATTTGCTTTTGATGTTTATATGCTTAAAGAAAAACGGAACCCATTTATTTAAGCTCAGCCATTTGAAAATCCAAAGGGGATGTTTTGACCAAAGTATTTGAATGACTGTACTTAGAATTTTCTTTTTTGAAGCTGCCATTTTTAGCAACCATTACAGATAGTTTTAAAAAAATGTCACCTAGAAATTACAGTTTAAGTTATTTTAAAAAATTAAAGCACAATAATTTAAATAATGCACACTATTTAAAAACTTATTTCTCTTTATTTGCATTTTAAAAAGTTTTCTATAGTAAAGTCAGTTGGAGACTTGTTTACATCCTCTTGCACAGGGTTCCCATGCTCCGTGTTCAATATGATTTTAATTTTCAGCAAGATGGTCAAAGCCAATGAAAGGGTTTAAAGTACTTGTGTAAACCCCTTTCGTAGATACAACTTGTGACAATTAGTACAACTAATACCACAAAAACAAGTAAGGATTAAATTTTCCTCTTTTCTATTTTCATCCTATTACTTGTAACTATGTCACATTTATTATGCTAATTATATTCTTTGTATTTATATCCATGCAATATTTGTGGACTTATGCCCAAAATATACATCTACGCAATATTAGACAGATAAAGGAGGTTAGACAGTATGACCAAGTTCTATCAATGAGACAAACAAGCTTTCAAACTAATATCTTGTCTAATATCCTGGGACTGACACAGCTATAATACTGCATATTATACATACAGTACGCAAGGTATATTTACATATGGCCTTACTTACTACATGGTGCATTTTGGTCAGTTTCATGATCAAAGGATTTTAAAAATAGTAAGTTTCATGATTTTAGCTATTTTAACCTAAAATTTCATGGTGTAATTATAAAGGATCCTGAGTGAGCCAAAAGAGAGTTGTGTGGGGTCGCAAGTTTATTATAGGGGGAGTTGCGGCACGGCTACATTTATTTCTGTGATGCCTTCAGAGCTGGGGAGCAGGAGGAAGGCAGCTACAACTACTGAAGGCACAACTGCCACTAGAAGCAGTACAGGAGTAAGGATAGCATGGTAAGGTAATGCCACCCTTACTTCTGTGCCTAGCACAACAGCCGTCACTCTCTGGACACCCAGATCTCAAGGCAGTGCAGAAATAAGAGTGACCCTGCCTTAAAATAACTTTGTAGTCCCCCCCCCCCGTAGTTCCCTTCTGGTACACAACCCCTAAATTGAGAAATGCTGGTCTCCTCTGTGAAGTCTATACAGCATAGGGTAAAAGCACACAAACAGACCAGATTTCAATCTGGGAGACCAGATTTCACAGTCTGTAATGCGTTTTTTCATGGCCTTGATTTTGTTAGGGTCCGATATATATATAAACATAATATATATATATTTTATGTTTTCCATATAAAACCATTTTTATAATCCTCATCCATGTTTGTTGCTCTTTTCTTCTCTCCCTCCAAATGTATCATCTTTCAGGTAATAAGCTACCCAGAACGGAATGCTATATTTCAAGTTCAATCAAAGCAGAACCAAGGGACCTGGGACAAAATGTCCTTATATATTAAGTCCAAATCTCACCTGGCCTTTTATTCTGACACATCACATTGCAAACGTAATTATGAAAATATTCAAGACCACACAAATCATCCAGAATGGCCTTCAGTAAGAATCACAGCAAATTTATTAGCCACTTTTAGAATAGGATTTGTTCAATTACAGAATAGCACACATTCTTTTACTGTGGTTACCAGATAAAAATTCTGCTAATTATTATTTTTAAGTTCTGCTTAATATGATAAAAATGAACTTAAGAAACCATCACACACTGGTGACTGTTTCTAATAGTATTTAGAAACTTATATTCTTTCAGTAATACAGACTGAATATTTCCATTTGATCTTTGATGTTCCCATCCTGCACATAGTTCCAGGAGACATTTCACTAACTTTAATGTGGCTACTCACACAGGTGAAGTGAGGCACACGTGCAACTATTTGCATAATTGGGACCTTAAGTAGAAAAAAAATGTCCAAACATGATCAAAGTATATATGCTCAAAAGTTAACTTTACATTTACTAATTTACGGAGACCAAGTATGTTTGTGCTTAAATTCTTCCAGCCTAATAGTCTTGGAAAATATCAAAACCTTTGGATTAAAAAAAGGAATATATAAGCAAAAAGGTGCTATTGCAAAATGGAGAAAATATAAGTTAACTATCTGTAACTGGACTTCCAGATGACAAAAGTTACTTTGCCTTCTCAAAACTGTTGTTCTTCAAGATGCGCTGCCCATATCTGTTACTTTGTAGGTGTGTATGCATCTCATGCACAAGCAGTGGAGCGTTTTCCCTTGCTCCTTATACTTTGCACCAAGTGTATAAAGGGTAGAGTAATCATGCCCCTTTCAGTTCCTTTGCATCAGAAAACTGATGTGCTGGGGAAGATAAGCTGAGTAATGGACATATGCAACATCTTGAACAACAGTTATAAGAAAGTGGCTAGCCCTTTCTCTTCAAGTACAGGTTGAACCTTTGTAGTCTTTGTATCATAAAGTTTGTTTACAGCTACCAGTCCAGGCTCTCAGTGTTCTGTGCTGTTATTTAGCTATAATTTACCCTAAATTACTTCTAAGCAGTAGAAGTGTTGGTAACGCAACTAAACAATATTGATCTCCCACAGTCCAGAAAATTCGCTGGTTTGGCACCAGTCAGGACCCAAGGGTGCTGGACTAGAGAGGTTCAACCTGTACTTGAACATCTCTGTTACACCACGGGTGACTCCCAAAGTGCTATCAGAGGAGGTGGAGTTTGAAGAAAAGGGACTGCAAGATTGCTTTTCCCAAGTTAACATGCTCTCTTGATGCAGTAGTAAGAACATAGTGACTGGGAAATGTGTGGACAGAAGACCATGTTGCTGCTCTGCATGTGTCTTCAAGAGGGACCTGCTCCATAAACACTGCTGAGGCAGCAAGCACTCTGGTAGTGTGAATAGTCAACTTCTCAGTTGGCAACTTGCTCCTAATAGCCAAAACAAAGTGATGAAACTGGTAATCCATTCTGAGAGTCTGAGTCATAATAGGATGACTCTGATACATTCCATGTAGAAACGAATATCTGGGTAGAAGCCTGGAAAGGTAGAGAG